AATAGCAAACTCATGGCAAATATAATTGTATTCCAAGCAGATGATAGCTTTTTTCAAAGCCATATCTATATATTTGCAGTTATTATTATTACTACAAAGTGCGAGTAATAAGGATAATAAAATTCAGAGGCTTCAAAATTATTACAAATAGACCTATATTCACAAATTATAAGGCTGAGCCTGAACTCAGAGGACAGAGGTTTGGAATGCTATGTAGAGCAATATCCTTTTTATGATTTACATGTTAAAACCTTGTTTTATTGTGCACACAGACCTTTCTTCCAACATTTTCAGAAGCCATCACAAAAGCTCATTTAGGATATTGAGTTTCTTGGATCCTCTCCAATCTTTTCTTCCTGCATTTAAGCCTTATATGAGCAGAGGATTTAGAATGAATTAGAGAGAAGGCTTTCTTCCCCTTGGCTTTTAAGAGGACATGTTCTGGAAATCTCTGGAGAATTTGACAGATGCTGCAGAGTGAAGTCTGGGGTATATACTTTTGGTTCCCAAAATATTTTAGAGAACACAGCCTTCAAGAGCCATATTTGTAAGGTAGTTGAAATCACTCAAACCAGCAGCAGAGGTTAGATCCTAGTTTTTGCTTCTTGAGTATTTGCTTTGTCTTAAAACAACTGGCAAAATCTCTTGACCCTATGAACATGCAAATCCTGTGCTTGAATAAGAGAGAGATGCTTTTGCTCATGTGATTTGGGAAGACTTCCGTTGCTGGTTGTTTTTATAGTGTGTGAAATACAAAATTCTGAAGGTCAGAGATATAAGTCATGACACATTATGGGTAAGCTCATCAGCTCCTTACTTCATAGTGAGTTCAGAAGGGCGTGATGCAGGCAGTGCAGTAAGTGATGGTCATGATGTTCTGAGGCAGAACATTTGGGTTTCCCTACAGGTGGAATCAGTATGAAGTGAGTCATTAGTCATCACATTTCCTGGAAGAATCAGAAGAGAAAAAGTTTAGAGTGAAATTGAAAATAGTGTTGTAATTTACTTTTGTCACTCATATGAGAGGATGATGTTTTCCATCAAGCTTGAAAAAGCTTAGTATAACCTGATTCATATGCCATGCACTAATTAGAAATTAATAGAATCTAAGACTTTCCCAGTCCAATTTAGTATTATTTAAACTAGGAATGCATGAATATGCTGTGTGCATATTCATATCAGATGTTCTTTCCTATGTGTTGGGGTAGGAGGTGAGGGTGATGATGGTACAGGCATTGGGGAGAGCTGCTCCATAGCCCAAAGAAAGGGGGGAAAAGTGGACACATGGAAGCTATGTGTAGGATGGGTAGCTAGGCCAGAAGGAAAGAAGTAGAAATCTCTGTACCCTAGGGAACTGGCTCTTGTCTATGCCAGGTATTTGCTAATGTTGTCAAGCCACCTGCAAGTTCCAACACTCAGTGAATATGCTAGACATATTCTTCTGTTTGAATACAAAAGCTACTTTTCCAAGGGCTAAAGAGTTCTTTAAACCAAATGTTGATTGAAAGTCTTGATACTTCAAGGAAGACAGATGTGCCAGTGACCAAGAAAAAAAAAAAAGCTAGGTTTTTAGCTAGTACTCACCATTTCAGACCAAATGTTATGTTTTCATACCTTCAGGACAAACAGGATAAAAAGGAGTTGATACATTAGGGGCTTGGAATTCAGGGTCTTTATCATTTCCAGCAAGTATTTCCAAGCAGCTTTTGGGTCACTCCTTAGCAGGAGACCGCCGCCTTCCCTCAGGTCCCTTGGCATGACAGAGGACATGGATGAAATCTTCCAATTTGAAGATTTCCGTGATCCCACCAACTTTTCTAACTGAACATGATTCCAGTTACATGCCATTCTCTGCTTCCATGGCCTGGGAATTCCACTCACCTGTGGAACATTAGGATAAGGGGTGGGGCTATTGGATAAGGGGTGGGGCTATTGGATAAGGGGTGGGGCTAACGTTCCTCTGCGTTGTCTATAAATAGGAAGTTTTAACTCTTTGGTCCCTTCTTCATCTTCTCCGTCTTTCCCCCATGTCATTTTCAAGCACATATAGGACATCTGAAGGTGTCTCTCTGGCTCTTAACCTTAGTCATTTCAGGAGGATGTAAAAATCCCCTTGGGAGAGAAGCCCGGTAAGAACAGGATAAAATTGGAAGGCTCTTCCCCTTTTTCCTGCCCCTCCCAATTATCCTCTCACACTCTCTCCCTTTCTCCCTTCTCCACCCACACAGGGCACTTTGGTGGGGGTCCTCAGGTTCCCCGGCCCAGGCCCCATCCCTCACAGTAAGCCAGGTTGGTGCCTGCATTTGTACTGAACAAGTCGGCACCACCCTGTCCCACAATAGGGTTGCTTCCGGGCCTCTGCAGCCTGACAGAACTCTCCCAAGCTTAGAAGCAAATTCCCATCTTCGAGAGTTCTTGGAGGTAGTTTTAGTCATTGAGACCTCGATTGCCCCGCAGTCCCCTCCACTGAAAAGAAAGCAAAAATGGCCTGAAGATTTGGTCAGGCAGGGGTGCAGCCCCAGACTCCCGCAGTTTCTCGACCGGTCCTCAACCTCTAGTACACTCCCTCAGCCTTCCAACTTCCCCTGGCCCAGGGCCAGAACTTTCCAGAACAGGAAAGCTTCCCTTCCCACTGGCACCAAACTCACCTAATCAGAGACATAAATGGCAGGAAAGATCTGCAGCACGATCCTGTCCCACAAGCAAGCTGTGTGTCGGGGGCTGGACAGGTCTTTAGATTGTACTGAGAAATGAGTGGGTCTCCAAAGCTAGATTTTTCTGGAGTTCAGTGACTAAAAATCTCCAATTAAATTCTCTACTTAGTCTCTCACTTCATCAGGCCCCGACCTCCTCTGAGAGTGCTTCACTGAGGAGAGGGAAGTGGCACAACCTTCGCAAGCCAGAGGTGCAGCTCAGTCTTGTAGGCCTGTGGAGCCCGCAGTTCCACCGTTTGTCTTCCCCACGGAGTTAATGGTGTTTGTGGTTTCCCCCCTTTAAGAAGCCATGAAGTCAACAAACTCCCCACATGGTGGCTCCCTTTACTAAAGTTGGATAGTGAATTTGTACAAGGAGACTTGGAAATTTTCAAGTATTTCTACAGATTGAATTCATTTCAGAATTCGCGTGGGAGGAAAGAATAAGGATTTTAATGGAGCTCATCTTTGACGTGAAGCAAGGCGGAAGACACGAAAGCCAGAGTCCGTAATAGCCTTGGGCGCTTTTGTAAGAAAGATATCTGCTTGATTATCGGTGGTGCTCACCTCCCACTCTGTGTGAGCTTCCTCAAGAGGCAGGGCTGAACACGGAAGACACGCATGCAAACACTCCAGCATAAATCAGTGAACATATGCAGTGGAGACAAAGAGATGCATCTCCATGTAGATGTGGTCTGAAGCTTAATTGCAGGCAAGCAATCTGGGGCATCCCCAGGAATAAACGGACAGGAAGTGGCAGTTTCTGGTCAATAATGGAGAGGAATAAGCAAAACTTTGTCTTCTTGGAGAAAGAATTAAACCTCAAATAAGAGAGCAAGAAAGGCATTGACACGAAGCATTATAATTTTGTCTTAGAAAAAGCATGCAGAACTAATATAGCTTATTTAAATGTTAGATCCAAATCAAGGTAACAGGAAACACTCTCGATAAATTGCCATTTCCTTGAATTTTTAAGATCCAAATAATTAACATGCACACACTAATGGTTATTGATGACTCTATTTCCTTTCCGAAAGAAATAGACTCGAGTTCTTTCACTGGAATAGAAATTTACAAATCTTCTTAAATTATCCAGGGACTTGGAAGTCTCCTGGTGTTGTGGTCTTCCCTTATTGCTCTCCTCTTCCCACCTCATTTTCAGTTAATTTTTTTTTTTTTTTTTTTTTTAGCGGCCCCATCAGAGGGATTCCTGTTAGAAACCCTCAGTAGGTGAACTTGTACTGGGAATCCTTGTACTTTCCCAGTTTACAACTCATGTTGTAAATAAAGGGGAAAAACATTCCTCACTCCAAAATTCTTAAAATTTGAGTTTTTGTGGAAAGCACAATCTCGCACTTTCAATTCTTCAACTCAGTAAGAGCTTCAGGAAGTGTGAAAGTGTCCAGATAGGTCATATCTAGAGCTCTAAATCCAGTCCTAACAGGAGACAGAATGCTCTTTACTGCAATCTAGAATGGTCGGACCATTCTCTGCTTTCAGGGCATTTATAGACACTGCCAGGGGGGTATCTGAAGAGTGGGGTACTTGGGCAATGAATTGCCACATTAATAGCATCCCTGCCAAATTCTCAGGTTTAGAGGCGGTGGTGAAAGATGGAATCAGGGGCAATTTTCAATGTTTATAGCATCTGTGACCAAACAGGTTGAGTACTCAGAGCCAGGCTCTGGATGCAGCTTGACTCTAATTAATCCACTCATAGCCAGACTGTCAACGACGGCCAGACTCATTAGCAATTTACTGAAAATCCTGCAAGACTTCCCTTTAAAAACAAAACGACTTCCACATTTAATTGTCTATCTGAAAGAACATACGCAAGAAATTAGGAGATTAAATTAAATGTATTAATAGGAGAGCTTGATGGTGCTTAATTCCAGAGACCAGAGCTCTGATTGCTGGGGCTTGATGAAAAGTAGAGAGAAATAGTAGGGACATCGTTAAAAACATGACTTTTGCCATGCCCTAAATTCTATGAATTCTTCACCCATCTTGGAGGAAAGGGTAAAACTGAAAACCATCAAAATAATTGGACTTCCTAAAAATTGGATTGTGTGAGTGAAAGGTGTTTATGGGAAGTGGATGACTCCAGATCTCATCATCCAAGAGGACAGCACAGAATAGTTAATATGTTCCTTGAGGGACTAGGATGCTGACGTCTTTTTCTGATACCCGATCATTGCGTGACTGAGAGAGAGAGAGAGAGAAAAAAAGGAAGTCATTTCATGAGCGCAACAGTGCAACAAAATATTCTGTACTTAAAGGCCACAGGCAGACAGATGTTGACGAAGAAGTCTCTTCCCAAACCATGTTCAGATAGATTTCTGCCCACTGCCTATATAAATAGGAGCAGAGGGCCGGTCACCTCTGTAACCACCGGCGGTAGCAGAAGAAGCCGCAGCCAGAGGGGCCTCGGAGCGGAGGAGGCACTGCCTACTCAAGAAGCTGCCTGACCCGGCGGCTCCCCCAGACGCCGGCTTCGCCTTGGCCCTCTTTCTTTTCCTTCCTCTCCTCCTTGGATTTCCCCCTCTTTTCCTTAATCACTTCCTTCTCTCTCCCGGTGGACTTAGGTCACTTTGTCCTCCACCCCCACTTTAGCTTGCCGCCTCCTCTTTCTTCCTTCGACATCTCTCTCTCCTCGCCCCATTCTCTCGGTGTCACGCTCCCTCCTAGTTCTGTGCGTCTACAAACTTTTGAACAGATTCCTGGCCGCAGCAAACAAGTCCTCCAGCTCCTCCTGCTGCTCCTGTTCGTTCCTGCGGCCTCCCCCCCAGACACTAACACCAGACGGCGATGCCTCTTGCGTTGTGACTCCAGCGCAGAAACTTGGAGGAACCCTTTGCTAACCGTCCTACTTGGCAGCAAACCCTTCCTAGCGGCGGTAAGAACTGAATGGTAAGGGGGAGGGGGAGGGAGTCTTTTCCAACCAGGCGGCTCACTTGACTGCCGAACCTTTTGCCGGCATGAGGGTCCTAGATCGTGTTCCTTCGCACCAGGTCTGGCGATGCCTAGATCTATTTCTAACTACCTACAGAGAGGAGGAAGTGGCGGGGCGAGCTCGGGCTGTCACTCAGGGGTATTCCACGCCTGGAGCCTTTCGCTCCGGTCCCCCAGCTCCGCGAGTTCTTGGGGCTGGAGGGTGGCGGGCCAGGGGCCTTCTGACAGCTGTGTGCCCTCTTTCCCGTCCCGCACAGAATGGCCATGTGTAGCGGAACAAGGCTGGCCCTGCTGGTCTACGGGATAATAATGCACAGCAGCGTGTACTGCTCACCGGACACCACCGGGCTCCCGTTTCCCGGGATCAGGTAGGTGCTGGCTGCCCGGACGAACCGAGGCTGGGCTTCCCTTCCCTCGGCACCTCCTCGCAGTCCCCCTGCAGTTCCTCGGTCCCTGCTACGACCACCTCCCCACGGGCTCCAGAGAGCCGCCGCCGGCCTGGGTGGGCGGGCAGCGGGCGGCGGGCCCCTGGCCCCGGCTGAGCTCGAGGACCCCGCGGACTCCACTTGGGCTTGGCGCCCCTCCCCCAGCCCGAGGCAGCCGAGGGGCCCCGGCGGACCGAGCGCGCAACCTCTGGCAGGAGAAACCTATCCAACTCCAGCCCCGCCCGCGGGAGGGGGCCGGGCATGGCCTGGAGCTTGACTTCGCCCGGGTCTCCGCTGGAGTTAGGCGGACCTGGGCGCCCGAAGCCGGCTGGGAGGGCTGAGCGTGAAGCTCCCAGGGATTTTGCTTTGTTGCAGCTGGTTCCGCACGGGCGCGGAGGGGTCTCTCTCACCTATTTCCAATTCTTTCTTTCTCCTGGAAGAGCTTTCTTTCAAGGGATATTTTCCGACTGCATTTCGAGTCTCAGACTGTCTTGAGGAAGGGGAGTGTTGGCTGGGTACGGTTGAGGAAAAGCGATTTGAGAGAAGGAAGAACAAGAATGAGTCCGAGAGGGAGGGGGAGAAACAGGTGCAATGGATGCAGGGAGCGGGGAAGAGAAAGCAAGCAGCGGGCAGGATCTGGACAGCCCTGCCCGCCCCGGGCGCAGTACGCCTGGCTTTTTTTCTTTTTTCTTTTTTCCTTAATCCTGGTTTCTAATCAGTCGGGTTCCCCCTCTCAGCCCTAGAATGCCCCACGGGTCACCCGGTGAGTGAAAGCTCGCTTTGCAGCTCGGCGTCCGCGCCCCAGCGTGCACCCGGCGCCGGGCGGCGAGGAGCGCGAGTTCCGCCTGCAAAGCTCTTTCTCCGAGCCGCGCCCCGAAACGCTGGGGCCGCTGACCATTGATTTGGCCCGAGAGAAGGTTTCTGACTCCAGCTTCTGGGTGCAGGGAAGGGTGAAGGTGGCCAGCGGGGCCCGGGGGCTCCGGCCAGCCGGCCAGGGCCGAGGCGGGTCGCCCGAGAAAGGCTGGGCGCGAGGCAGGCAAAGGGGTGTGCGTGCCTCGCCCTCACCTCTCCAGGGGGGAAGGAAAGGAGTGCGGAATAAGGACGCGCGACTTGAACCCCTCCCAGGGAGCGAGGCTTGCCCGGGCCGATTTCCGGGTCTCTGTAGCGGCCCAAAGTGAAGGAGTTTTTTTGTGG